TGTGGTTTACATGACAGGGGAATTGTACATGCAAGGTAGGGGAATGCATGTTGAAATGCACACCAGCATTGGTGTGGGAACCAGGGCTTAAACTGCCATGTGTAAAAATTATGAACCTCTCAACTTGCTTTAATCTTAAGGTTGTCAAGTTTTTCCAGCACCCATTTACTTCTAGGTTTAGATCGCTGGGAATGGGGGTGGGAGTAGATGCTGATGTCCGCTTAGCTGTCCTGGGAACAGTCCAGCTTTTCTTCTTCATCCTACCATGAGTTATTAACCCCAAAGAGCTATTTCCTGCATCTCAACACTGTGCCCTGCTTTACCCTGTGCAGAGAGAAGGTTCGTGCATGACTGAGGATGACTCTGTGGACATCGAGAACGAGAACGGCAACCGCTTCGAAGAGTATGAATGGTGTGGGCAGAAGAGGATACGGGCTACTACTCTCCTGGAGGGAGGATTTCGAGGTGCGTCAGAGTACTGGGGGGGCTTGTAAATTATTCTGTTGTGGAAATTGATCATTGCCTGTCTTCAAAGGGAGGGACCTGGAGATGTGCCTTTCACAATGGGTGGGACCTTCAGCCTTTGCTCGAATGTAAAGTGATTTCAGCTTTCTGCCTCTCTTGAATGATGAGAGTCAAAACTTGTGCAAATGTTGAACAAAAGCGTGGTGTTATTTCTTACTTGAGAAATGTGTCTGAAGGGGGAATAAGTAGGAATGGATAGAATGGGGAGATCATTTAGGGAAAATAGCTTCTTATATGTTACACATAGTAAGAAATAGGTAGAAATATATGAAGAGAGGGAAATAGAAATGAAATTGTAAAAATTCCCAGCCTGGAGTGACGAAAGCTGGTGTATCAGCCTCTGGTGATGTATTGAAGGTGACAGCTAAGTCGCTTTAGCACCTGCATAAAATATTAAAGGGCCAGTTGTGCATTTATCACTCCATCCCTTTTAAGGTTGATAAATGAGAATCCAGGAACCTGCTCTGCACCTGCAGCACTGCAAGCCCTTAGGGCTCCCAGACAAACACGTTTTATTTTTCCTCCTTCTTTTGCTCCTTCCCCAGTGACGGGGAAATCAGTTACTGTGCAGAGAGTGACTTATGGCAAAATTTGACCTCTCGTGAGCTTTATTGGTGAATGTAATTTTAGCTAGAAAGCTGGCCCCTTTCTTACTCTCAGCCCTTTGGCCTCAACGAGGAGGATTTACTAAACTGTTCATTGGCATGAACCTCTGGCAGTACGGAGAGTCTCTCACGAGCAATCCACATAGCGCATGCCTAATGAGAAGAGGAACGCTGGCTCCCTCGGTTCAATAAAGAGGATGGGATGTGATGTCTTCCTATATCAGCTTGGATTTTAATTTAAAATATCTCAAGGGGAAAGGCTACTACATAAGGGAGTTGGACTTAAAAGCCAGCTGTGTGCTCAGTGACAGCCTGGCACTCCTGATCTGCTCTTACCTTCCTCTGAAATTAAATTGTAGCTGGGTTGTAGCAGAGCAGATGATCAGGAGCACGGAAGTGCAGGAGCAGCTTCTTTAGGTTTTAAAGGCTACTCAGTGAAGCTCACACTGTCACTTCCTGTCTCTGTAGCCTTATCTACCTTAACTTTTTTTGTGCCCGTATCTGTACATGACCTGATCAGATCATGCAAGGTCTTAGACTATGTTTAGGTAGTATAGTCACTGCGATCCATAGAGGGGAAGCATGGGATGTCTGCATGCCTCTGTTGTTGTCACTGCTACTCCTGGTTAGAAAAAGCTACTCAGTTAATTCCTGCCGTTTTGTGTATTCATAGTTTCTTCCTTCACCCCCAACAAACACCTGAGTTTGAAAGCACAATCTTCCACTTCCTTTGGTGTGGATGTTGTGCCATCTTCACCTGGTTAATGTTCCCAGTTGATTTTGAGATAACTCAGTGAAGTGTGATCTGAAGCTTTCATAGTGCTTTGGTCATACAGAGACCCTCTTTCGAATGAAGCTTCAGATGGATAACATTTGTAATTGATGCAAATTATGCAAAGTACTTGTCCTTCTTGCATTTTCTTCCTTATTTTAAGGAATTCTCAGAAGGGTTAATTTGTGTTGTATAGATCAACTGCTTTCCTCCACCAGAAGTTAGACAGATTCTAGCATTAGTCAGGGCTGTAACCTCTGCTAGATGGCTGCACATGCATGGACATTTCTGTATTTCATAGTTAGAAATAGCCCTGCTTCCATCAGGTCCATCTCCTCTTTCCTATATGAGACCTTTATAAGACCTTCAGGAGCACTTAGTTACGTGAACAGGTCCAGCAAAGTATCAGAAGACTAGGAGAAGAATAGAGCACAGCTAGATGTGTTTCTAAAACCCTCTGTAATTACGCTGATGAGAAGGCTTTTGGATTAGACTCTTTCACTTTGTGGTGCTGGATGAAAGGTGTCTGTAGATCAGCTTGCAAGCACAGGAACCTCCTGGTAGCATCTGTAGTGAGGAACATCCTCCTTGTGCAGCTTTTCATGGCAGAGCCACTGCTGAAGAAATGACTCCACCTGAGGGGCTGGCACCCCTCCACCTGCGGGTCCCTAGTGCATATGTTTCTTTCTGCCCTTCCTCCTCTGGAGCACACCTTTACTGTCAGCTGGATTCAACAGCTAGAACAGATTAAATAGCAGAGGACCTCTAGAGAGGTGTCCTCTTTCCTAAACAGGGGAACTTTTTGCCACCAACTTTCTACCTAATATTTTGGGATGACTAGATAATACAGAGTACCTACATACTCTGCACAAGAAGCTTCTGTAAAATCTAGGAAGCCAAAGCAAAGCTGGAATGATCTCCCATAGTTGGCTGCTTTGTGTTTCTTTTTAAGCAAGTTACACTTTTTCATGCTCCCTTTTGGTTTTCATAGTGTCTCTGGCTGCTGGCTTTCAGAGGTCTCCATCAGTCAGGCCTGCTTTGTGCACTCACAGGTAACCTTAAAGGTGACAGTCCCTTTCTCTGCCAATGTTGGCTTTTGCCTTGTTTTAGGGACAGAATTCTTAATTTAAAGCCCTGAAGCACAGCACGATTTGGAGATGCTTTCCAATGCTTAAAACTGCTTTGTCTGGAGTTGGCAAGGCCCTCGTTAACCCCTGTCACCCGAGGCTTTGTATTTGGCTCTGTTCCCTTTGCTGAGAAGTAGCAGCGATGTGGAAATCGAAGGCCTTTTATAATGCCAGACAGCCTTTGCCAGGCTACAGAGATGTCACCAGTGTCTAAAGAGATGACATGGGGAAATACATAAAACCAGAGGGGAAAATAGATGGCCGTGTGTCTCATTAATTTTGGTTTTAATGGTGTGTTGCTTTGAGGAGATGTCGCAGCTGGGCAAAGGGGTAGCAGGATGCTGTGGCCAGCATGTATTGCATGAATCGGTCACACCGTTGGGCAGCATTACAGAAGTGACTCAAACTTAACACAGGTCCTGGCTGCTTCTTTTTATCATTTTTCATTAATGTACAAAGTTCATATCTCTCTCAAAGTCAGGCAAACTCTTTGCTAATTATATGAAAGATCCTGCCAGGCTCTCATGTGGGTGAAGTTGGGGTTTTTTTCTTCTTGAAAACAGGAAGGTCAGGGAAATGAACAGCCCTGCTCAGATTTTCTGGAAGGTGGTCTAATCCTTCGGAGCAGTCAAAGGCTGAAACTCTCACTTGTGTGGTTCCTAGGATGATTCTTTCTTGCTTCCAAAGCATGCAGGGAAATCTTGCTCCTGTCACCTGAGGGGCTGTCTTACAAGGTGGAAAATCTTTGCTGCCTTTGAGTTACAGCTGCAAATCCCCAGTCAGGTCTAGGGCAGCAGAGCCAAAGCACACAGCTTGGCATACTTGAGGCAGCAGGTGGAAAGAGCAGGGGATGGCAGCAAGCAGGAATATGGCATAACTGAGAAGTACAAGGATCAGTATGTTGTCTCTTAAGCTGTTGGGCTTGATGGAGGCATTCAGTCAAGGAAATACTTGGTACATCTAGCTGTCCTCCTGGCTTCTTCAAAGATAGTTTCCGATCACTTAATCTGCTGACCCAAAACTGGAAGAATGCAGGCTGTAAATGAAAATTATTGGCAGTTATCTAGGATTTGGAACCACTTTGTTTTCAGCAGAGGTTCTGCTTGAAGTAGGGGTTTGTAGTAGGAGAGTTCTTGCTTCTGTTTAGGATAGGTGCAGAAGGCTACCAGCATGAAATACCAAGTGCTGCTTGAATCAAGCTTGTGCTTCAAAGTGAAAAGCTATACAGGTATAATAATAAAATATTTCCGTGTCCCAGTCCAGTGTCACAAGACTGAAATTTCTCTTGAAATACCTGAACATTCAGTAGCCATCTATCCCCATGTCTCTGAGTCATCCCTCTCTGAAGCTCTTTGTTGCAGAGGATTATTTCATGCCATCTTTGTCTAATGAGTTTCTGTGTTTAGGAAGCCAACAAGGCTTCACAAGTGAAGGCATCAAGTGGCTCCCTCTCTGATGTTTTCTTTTAATGCTCAACATATTTGTAGCAATTCTTCTGTTCCTCTCCAGAATGGATGCACGTTACCCTCAGTGTTTACACTGTAAGGTTATCCCTTTAAAGAATCCCTGAGGGAAGTTCAGAAGGGTTTTTTTCCTTTGAAAGATTCAGTGTCTCTTTTTGTGTGTATGTCTCTTACTTGAAAGAAGGGAAAGGGAGGGGGGAGTGGAAAAAAAAGTGCTTTATCTGAAAAGAATCACATCAGCTTCGCACTGATAGAAGCTGCTGTCATCTCTTAAACGGCTTAGCACAGTCAAAAGGCAAGAGGACTTAAAACAGTGTCTTACACAGGGATCGATGGGTGGAACACATAACTCGTAACTGCAAAAAAAAAAAAAAGAAGTGCGGGGGGAGAGATAACGGTAATGATTGCATTGAGGGAAGCTTGAGGGAGGCTTGTTCTTTGTAACACAGCTTCAAAGGTGTCTGGACCGGTGCCTGAGCAAACTGTCCTGTGAAGTCGCTGCCTCTGTAGGTCTAGGGAAGGCGGGGGGGTGCTTGCACCCTTCTGTTTCTTAGCAGATGGGACAAAGATTAGTAAATGCCAGGTTAGCATCTCCCTTCTGTTGCTTTGGATTTGAGGAGGGGATTTTGTCACTTAGTCTCTTACCGTCCATTCTGGGCTTGTCCAGGAGAGGGGAATGGGGCGAGTGGCGGATGGCGCGGTTGGGGAGATGGGGTGGGGGGACAGGATGTCAGTTTATCGATCGCACCTCAGTCAGGAGAGCTGCAGGCGCAGTGCTCTGAGCACGAGCGGCAGCGTGCTTAATGTGATTGAAAGGCAGTTAAAATGGCGGTGACCTTTTCAGGGGGAATTAGATTGCCTGCCAAGAGTGGTTAGAGGGAGTGATAACGCCAGCTTGAGGAAGCTGTCCAGTCTGCTTCAAAGGGAGAGAGACAGGGAAAGCAAGCTGGCAGCAAGTACCATTTAAAGCACG